TATTATGTTCACAGTACCACTGTAAATTATTGAAAATCAAAAACTAAAGATCTGTTTTGTTATATGCCTCAAAAGAAATAAATTCATGGCTAGAAAAACTTGAAAGTAAAAGGTGGGCCAAGAGGCTTAACTGAGCTAAAGTCACAAGAATGGAAGGAGTTTTTTTAACCATTTTATATTTTGCCTTCTTGGACACAACAGTAAAGCTTCTTTCAGAAAACCATATCCAAGTTTCACAGTAACGTCAGGCTGTATTCAACATGCAATAACAGGTCAGTCTGATTGTGTTTTTTTTAAATACCTTGCAAGCTGGACTGTTTTCTATGGAAATGTTCAAAGAATACAAAGATGTTCAAGAATCCAAATCCAAACCAAGATTAAGATGAGTCTTAATCTCAGCTCTCCCACTATCTGATCCCATCCTTTTGCTTACATCTTTCTAACCTTTTAACACACAGCCATAAATTAAGAGCAACCTGATCAGAAGCAACCATAAAGCTCTCCATGAAAGGCCAGTATGAAATTTTTAAAGCTGTTTACTTGTTCCTCAGGCTATTAAAGCACAGAAGCTGGACCAACTGCCACACTTTATCTGCCTTATCATCTAGAGAGTATCCTGCAGGTTAACCATTATTAAAGCTTCCCTTGTGCCAGAAAAGAAAAATCTGCTCCCTACACTGAACTCCGAAATTATCTGACTTCAATAAAAAGTATAGACCAGGAAGGAGGCAGTTATCTTAGTAATTAATTGGTTCGTAAAGCTGGAGAAGGTTGCATACACCTGAAGAGGAAGACACAAGAATTGCACACTAAATGTTCAGGCAGACAGAAATTATGTCTAACTTTTAGACAAAATTCTGACTTCCGTGTCTGCTTTAAAGTTAGATTGCTAACACAACTGATTTACAACATGTTTGTAGGAGCAGTTTGTGGTTTTTGCTTGCACTTTTTTGAAGGAAAGTTGCATATAACAGAAAATAAAATAATTACAGAAACAGAAGAAAGACGATTATCCCCAAAAGCGTGCAGAGTCAATGCAATGCAGTAGAGCATAGCTTATTCAATTATTTTTATATGAATGATTTTTTAAAAAAAAAATTTCTGTGAGTTAGTAGAAGATGAGCGCTTTGCTGCACTTTTAAAAAAGTCACTAAAAGGTAGTACCTATACCTTAGCATGATAATTGAATTCATTGCCATGGATCTTAAGCCATTCAAAGAGATCAAACTGATGCTTATCACTACCTAACTAAACAGTGATCAGTAGGCGAGCTTATAAAACTTGCAATATTCTATTTACACACTATGCAAAAGTACTATATCAGTGTATGAAATAGGGCCACGTGCCTGAAGATCATCAATCTCAAACAAAACCTTCAGATAATTAGAGTCAAACCATCTTCCAAAGTGAGTGTTAGTTTGGGAAGAGTGGCATGTGTTTCTTTTTGAGTTTATTTTGTAGTTTTACCGTTTTTTCAGCAAGAAGACAAGCCAGTTTCTTCCTTCGGTAGGCAAAAGTCTCAGCAAAAGACTTTAAAAAGACAGATAGCTAGACAGATAGACACACACAACTATAGCTGCATATATATAAAATAACTATATGCATATATACACACATATATTGTGCTGGGTTGGATCAGAGCAAAGGTTTGTCAAGCCAAGTACCCTTCTTCTAATAGAAGCTGACAGGTGATACACACATAGGCAAATACCTACTTCACTATCACCAAGCTGAGTATTGTCCATAATCCTCATGTGATCAAAGTACAAGTGTTCTGCTGGTAATTTCATTCCATAATAACACCCAATTTCAACTGGCTTCAACAGTTTGAAAGTCTCACTCACAGATGTTTTCTTATGTTTAAAAGAAGGGTGAAAGAAAACACAATGCAATGTGGCTATTTTACATAAGGAGTATGCAAATGTCAGGCAAAAAAACAAAAATAAGTTTGTCTTACAGGAACGAAAAAATAACATGCTAACTTCTGTCTGTATACCACTGTACTAATTAACAACACAGGATTTTTACTGGGCTGCAACAGGCTGTGACACTAACTGCAGAAAATTACTTCATATTCAAGAGCAAATTATTTATTTTCCAAGTGAAAATCTGTGGGCATGAACCCAGACTTCCAGCTTCCTCAAACGTCTATGTCATCTTTCTCATGAAAAGGTGCAGAGTATTTTGAAGGAATGAAAAACACACAATGGGTAACATGCCACCTGTGGAGAAGTATTTGCTGATCTTCACCAAACACTGAAGCTCATGCCTGCCAGAGAGCTGATAAAGCTTCTGAAACTGATCAAACCAGAATCTAATGCCCCAGGTCATTATAAGAAAGATCTTTCAGGTTGTATCTTGAAAAATATTATTTCTAAGACAAATAAAGGACTTTCACCTGAGCAGAAACAGTGATATGGAGACTACAAGCCTCAGACAGGTACCTTCTTGTAAGACATCACTTCCCCACCTGATGGCTACAAAGGCCTTTAAAATGATGAAAGGAAAGAAATGTAAAGGAAACCTCTCTCTAATTCAGTTCCTCTAAATCAAGCATAGAGAATGCAAACTGAAGGTAGCATGCATCTGTCAAAGTACCTTCAAATAAAGATTACAGAAAGCAGAGCCAAAAGTGAAGCACAGCTACACAGCCGTAGCCAGCACAACCCAGAGGACATCGCATGCTCAAGAATGTTTACAGAAACTGAAATGCCAGTTCAGACTGGCATAATCTATACAGCAGAAGACTCCAGAAAAATCAAGTATTAACTCAATAAGGGAGAATACGTAGCAGTCCTCTGACATGGAAGAAAAAGAAGTAATTGGAAGAGGAAGCAGCAAAGGCATCTGCTATACAACGTCAGAACTAGAACTTTTGTCAGTTCAAGTGTCATTCAAAAGCACAGAATGACAAATTCCTGCAACTAATCACACAGACATATGCTCCATGAATTGTGCACCAGAACAGCTCCTGCCTGAGGCAACATATTCAAGCTCGGGGGGAAGGAACGTGCCTTGATTTTATCTCTGCTTTGGATGTCTGAACTTCGGTCTGCTGGGCAGGACCAGGTGTGACCTGCAATCAGCACAAGGTTAACACCATCTTTTGCTGTAAAGTTCTGACCCTTCCTCTTCACTGACATGAATGCTGACATGATTCCACAAGTTATTCCTCCCTAGGTGCTCTTCATATCACTCCTTGTGAGGAAGAGTCAAAAATTACTAACAATGCCTCCATGCAGAAGGAAGAACTAAGTTCACCAAACAGAGCTGTAGAAATCAGGGAGAATTACACAAAGAGAAATGAGAATTGTATCTCAGGAAACTCCTATGCACCTACTCTAACACATGAGATGTCCCCCAGCAACTCGGCATGAGTCAGCACAGGAGATTACCAGAAGTGTATGTTTAGCTAGGGCTCTAAGGAAGCATTTACATAAGAAAATACTGGGATCATAGGAGATTGCATGGATGCAGCTGAGTACCAGCCCTCTGGAAAACAACAAGATGTCAACAACACTGTTTCAAAAAAGTTCTGGAACCAAACCAAATAAAACCCTTCAGTTTTAATAGAAAAAACAGTACATACAGCATTAATAGAAACAAATAATAGTTTGAAAAAGGAACAAGGTAAGAACAGCAGAGATGTGGAGTGAGGTAATACCATCAAAAACAAACAAACAAACAAACAAACAAAAAAAAATAACAAAAAAAAAATAAAAACACACACCACACACCTTAAGGAAAGCCTTTAAAAAAAAAAAAGTCATTTAAATTGACAGTTGTGGTGCCAAAGAATAACACAAGCAAACTGCTCCATCCATCCTTAATAAACTTAAAGTTTATGGAAAGTAAAACTTTTATGGTAAGAACTCCTTGTTATGGACTCGTATGGAACACACCAGAGACATCTTGAGTAGCAGCTATATAATGCGAGGCAATGAAAAAAGAGCAAATTTCTTTTTGTTACAGATGGTTACATTTTTAAATGTAACCTTTTCTAAAAAGGACAGTCCCCTGGAGGCATGACATCTTATCTGTTAAATTCACATGGGTTAAACAAAGCTCATCTACAGAAAGCGAATCTCTTGTCATTTCTTCTTACAAGTCTGACAGGATTCAGTCAAACTTCTGTAGGAACGACAGAAGATGTCCAAAAGACAGAGCAAAACAAAAAAAAAAGAAAGAAAAAAATAGAGTCAATCAACATTTTAAATTATTTCACGTCAACTAAGATTGAAGTGTTACATCTATTCTGGTTAGATCTGTGGTCTTCAACTCAAAGGTCACATTATTATGGATTTTTCTTGCCAATGCACAGCAGAAATAGTTTTTCCACAATTTTGAAGGTCTTCAGGGGGAAATCTGTTCTGAGCATTATTCATGAAAAATATGACATTTTATTTATCTGGTTTCTTTCAAAATATTTGAGAATAAAACAACAATGATGACGTGGTGCCAAACCTTCCTCAGTTGCTTCTGTCTCTCGCTCTCTCATGTACAGAGTTTCTGACATGGAGTAAATGTTATTTTTACTACTTGATGTTAAAAAGTTAATTTTAAAATGTAAACAAAATCTGTCAAATCTGATCTTTTTCTCTAAATTTAAAAACCCAAGAGGCAATTCATGTACTTTCCTAAACTTCATGAGAAAGTATACCTCTTCACAAACAAGCAACCCCTTGCAAAATTTGCATCATAAACACTATAGCAGCTGTAATACCACACCAGGATCAGGAGAGGAAAACACTTAGAAACCCTGTAAGACAAGCTAGCCAGTATCTGAGAGGAATTTCAAAATATATTCTTTTTCAAGTTCTGTTTTCTTACTCTATTTTATGCATAATACTACAAACATATATAGGAAACAACTTTAATAGCAGCTATGAGCTTTTTACGTTGTTTCCTAGTAATCAATTCATTCTTAAGCAATAAAGCCTCTCTGACATGACTAAACCCATTGTTTGGTACAGGTTCAAATGTCAGCAGTGTGCACTTACGGAGCTGGGGCTGGAGTGCCTCCTGACTTTAGGTGATTCCTTCCCTGCAGATGAAGTTTTGAAGTTAATGCAAGCATTGTTCTCTGAATGAACCCTCTTCACTTGATTAGTTGGTTTCTCAAATGGATCAAAACTACTCTGCGTCCTCTGAACTCGGACTTTTTTATCCTCAGGAATTGTGTCCAGAGGTTTGATCACTGAATCCATTCCCTGGCAGTTCCGTGTAGACATCTTTGTGACACATATCTGAAAGGAAAAAATAGCATTCCTTGACTCTAACAGGCTTAAACTCCACATCAATCCATACATCAGCTCGTATAAACAAAGGCATTGGACTTCATAAGCAATTATCTTCTATTTTTACACTGAAGTTGCAAATACCACATTATTTTTCATAGGCGTGCATTTCACATAGGGGACACACACAAAAACAACAGTTTTGTCAGAACAACAAAAAGCCTATCTTTGTACAGTGTACTAAAAGATCCTGAAAAAGCAAAGACAGAAAAGGAACATAAATAAAATTAATACATTTGTGTTTTCCTGTACAATGTGTTCTTAGCAACAATTCCACTTCACTTCTTTCTCCAAACTAGCCACCAGCATCCACAAGCAATATTGATTTCCATTTGTTTAAAATTGGATGAGACCAAACCTAAATAAATGATGGTGGTTCGTGTGTGCACTTAGGTGCTGGCCTGCCAAAGATTCAATACTGGTATATTACTGTATTTTTAAATAATGCTTATATAGTGATATTATTATTATCACCATAGGTCTCAGGAAATCAAATCAGTAAATCAATTTCCAGGCACTGAAACGTGAGGCTGCAGTTTAATGGCACACTAAAGCACAGAAGTTCAATTCTTTGTTACTGTGAAGTATGACTCTGCCAAGCCCCAAAGACTGTGACTTGCTGCTTGAGCTACCAAAATATGTTATTGCTACTTCAAAACAACTAAATGAGCTGAACAGCAAGTTTAGATACTCCAAGTGATGTACTTTTATGTTTTCAATTTCAATACATTCCAATGTATAAGGTATTTTTTTCAAAACCACACAGTGAGGGGTTGTATTTGAGGCCTCAGCTTCTGTTCTCACCTGTAAGAGAGTTGACTTGGGAAGAAAAAATATTTTAGCTTTCAGGCTACAGGGAACAGTTATCAAGTGTGATGGAAGCAGACCCAAGAAGCTCCTTAAATTTTAAGCCAAATCATGCAAATATTTCAGGATAGGCAGTGTCAATTTGCTTTTAGCTGTGCTCTTCACATACATGCAACTAAAGAAGCATCATGTTCCATTCAAGTACCTACAATTTTTAAAGCTTGTTGTCATAAAATAGTTAACATGGAAAAAAAAAAAACCAAACATATTTACCATCATCATTTAATCATGACTCTTCTCCCATAACCAAAAGTGTCTCCAATACAAGTATCTCCAATAAATTATTCTTTGCCATTTCCCCAGAGGAATTCTGTGCCTTGAAATCCAACTTACTTCAATTGTTTATAGAAATACTGTGTGACTATACCTTGTGGTTTTTATGATTTTGATGATCCACTGTAACAGCAGATCAAAGATTTCTTCTGTACATTAAAAAATCAAAGTACATTTCCTGCACAGTGCCATCTGGCCAAACAACCATACGCTAGGTCAATTCTAATGAAGGACATCACTAGCATTACAAGTCAGGCTTCACAAGGTTTCACATTTCTTCTCATTAGAGTGGTTTCTCGAAGACTAGAACTCAACCAAGTTTTAACTGAGAAAAGCACCCCTTCATTCCAAATGATAATTCCCTCTTAGGCCAAATTTAAGGCAATTATTTAATTTTGGTCTATTACTTCAGAGAGAAAAGATAAAGAGTTGCTGCACAAAGATTTTTTAATTAGCCTTCTTGTAAAATTAATTGGTCTCTTTTCCCTAAAACAATTTCTATGCACAGACATGCACCCACATACTTCCCTTCCCACCAGCCTCTCCAGATCCGTGTACCTGTGATGCTTCCTACCAACAAAGATGTTTTAACATAATGTAAACTGAAATAACTATTAAAATAGCAGCTCTTCCATTTTTCTTAACTGCAAATGAATCAGTAAGTATTTGTCAGTGCCTATGAAATCCTATGATATAGAAAATAAGAGCAGGAGATAAGGAGGACAAGTTTAAAAGTCATATCTGTCTTTCTTTTGAATTACCAAAGGCCACCTATAGATGTTTAAAATGTTTGGTATACACAACTATTAATATACTATAGATAATAATGCCTTGAGTGCTGCTTCTAGTTTCTTTTTGCACTGAAAAATCTCCATGTCTAGCTCTAATATGGGCCAAGTAAGCTTTGCACTACAAAAAAAAAAAAAAAAAAAAAAAAGTGACAAAACCTAAACAAATCCCAAGAAAAAGAAAAAAGCACAAACAAAAAAAAATAACACAGCACCAGCAGTAAGACATCTGTTACAAATTATCACCTCTACTGGAAGCAGTAATAGCTTGCAATTAGATATTGAAGGGAGACACTTTAACCTTCTGGTCACTTGACTCAATCTGGAGTAGGATCTCCACAATTATCTTCTAATAGCCAGCTTCAAACTTGCAAAGACTAAAACCAAGACATACACCAACCAGCTCCCCACTCAGAAGTCAAACCTCTTAGTGGATGCACAGGCTGAACACCAGCATCACCAGCAGCAAAGACCGGAGACTGCGGAGAAGCGTAAAAGCATGGACCTCTGCCTGCTCTGCAGCTGTAGCACTTCTCCTGCCAGCGTTGGCAAGGCGTTTCATTCATCATTTCTCTCTCACCTACATCAATAGTTCCTTAGCAGAAATAAAACATTCTCTCCAAGTCACCGCTGACCACAGTGCACTGTTGAAGCCCACAGAGCTGAGCTTATGGTTGTTGAAGGGAACACATTTCCAACCCGTCTACACTGCCTAAAAAACTCTAAAGAGAAATAATATTCAAGTTGTTCTTTTACACTGTCATTGACAAACCAAGTCCCACTTAATGCTGAAACTGCTCTATGAAATCTGAAATGGGCAGGGCTAAAACATCAGGAGCAAGCAGTGGCTACAAGTTCAAAATTAGACACCTTAAGGCTGCAGTGTACTCATTGGTAATTTTGAGTTTCCCCTCCATCAGCAAGAACTAAGCTACCACAATAGCCTTGCTTTTGCCCCTAGGCAGTGGGCGTATTTACCTGATGCTCCTACGCTCCAGCTAATGCTAAAAGTCAATTCTACAGTGACTTTTAATAGAAAAAAGCAACAGTTTAATGAGCAAGACTGACACATAACATTTTGGAGGTCTTCCTGTGCATACAAATAATCTTAGATTTCACCACCATGATGGCTTTTAGGAACAGTACAGGTTTGAATTTTTCTATTACATTAATTCAGCCTTTTAAGTATCATTTTCCCTTTGTACTGTATAAAAAAAGTGATTCTTATAATATTCAGCCTCTCATATGTTGTATAAAAATACTTTGCATCAAAAGCTCTTAGAAGTGTAAACCCCTGTCTACCACCTGGCAGTTCCTTCCTGGTAATCAGGAGCAGCCTAACCACCCTCTTATTTCCAGTTTTCTTTTTGTCTGAGAGAGAAAGGACTATTTTCCAGTTAGGACTTTGTCCTTTGTGACAAATACTATACTCTTTTTCAGCCTCTTTTAGATGCTCCTGTGTGATCCTCTGGGCTAGTCAGAATTTCACTCTGAGTCTATTTTGCCTCTGTAAGACAGGACCTTTCTTTTTACATCTGTTTTATTTACATAAGCTATAGGTTCTTCAGACAGGGGACTACTCTTTTACTAACCCTACATACAGAACAACCCTTGTGCATCCTAGTGAAAGTAACAATCCAGAAAGTAGTGGAAACTATTTCTTGACAATGAAGCCTCAAAACTGGATGAGTATCTGCTTTAGCTACAGCCACTAGAACAACAACAACAAAAAAGTTTCACAAGTGTATGAGCTCACGACATTAAGAAGCCAGTCCATATGATTCATCATCCCTTCTTGCCCTTCCTCTACAAATCTGTGTAATTCTGTACTTACAAGAGTGGAGCCCGGACGCTCATTGAGATGCTCTAAATGCCACCACAGCCTAAAACTGGTGCTATGTTAAGACAGAATCAATGGCACCTTAACTATTACAAGTACTTACCTCAAATGTATGTAAAGACAATACAGGTAATATTTTAGTTTGTCATATAGAAGATGACAAGGAGACAAGAACTTTTCAGTATGAACATGATATTCATTTAAGGAAACCTGTTTAGCAAATAGCATGAGCCATTAAGCAGTTTTACTTAGTGTTTCTTTAACAAAAGCCATCATAGAAGTAAACATTAATGTATGTCAACACTTCCAAGTGATTTTTTTTCCCCCTTCAGGAATTACTGCCATGATTTGATAGTTCTCCCACCACAAACTACAATCGAAGCAAAATTTTCAGAAGTATAAACTATTTCAGAAATGATTTGGCTTTTAAAAGTGGTGCAATGAAAACTGGGTTATCACTTTGAGAAGAGGTACTTCTTCCAGCAGATCTCCTAAATATGGGAAGCACAGGAACGGGATCTTCGTTTATGCTTTCTCCCTTCTTTATAGGAAACTACATTTTAATAATAGACAAATCAACTTAATACATTTAAGAAACAGATTGATACAAGTGGAACAGACGATATGCCAAAAATCTCTGTCATGTAAGGACTGTTCTAGCAGACATTATTGTCCTTCCAAATCTTCTATCAGATACAAAGGCTCAAAGAAGTCACTGGCTGATCCACCACCTCTGACTTCGGGCATGTTAGGTGGCCCCAGACATGAAATGTAAGAGCATACGGCTGCCTTCTGCTGCCTAGCTCCCACCTGGCAGGAGTCCCAGCCATCGTGCCCCAGAGAAGCATGCTGAAAAACAGATGCTGGCAAAAACAGCAACAAAGGGGCAGGGATGAGGGGCAAATGATACAAAAAAAAAAAAAAAAAAAAGAAAAAAAAAAAAAAAACCAACCAAAAAAATAAGTTTTTTGTCCTACATGGAGAAAAGGTAAAATAAATTACAATATGTATGGTGTTCACACCAGCAGATTTTATACCTAGCATGTTCATCTCCCAAATCTCTACTGTGGTTTCAAGATGGAAATCCTGGAAATCCTAAATTGGACTCCAACTCCCAATCTCCCTCTGGAAGGATTCTTGCTCTTCTCCACATAGAACAGAGTGGTCCTACAGAAATTCAT